TTAGCTCCCTTTTTATGCCTCTATATTTATATGTATACATATTTATTTTGTTGCTTTTTATAATCACAGTGGATCATAATATAAATATTGTTTTATGCCTTATTTTATTCAATTAACTGTTTGCCTCTGGATTATTTCATGCCAGAACAGGAGATCTACCTTCATCTATGTGTACCTTAATCTATAATGATCATATTATAGATAATATCATATAGATACTACATCCATAGTGTAAAAGTATCATGATTCATTTAGTTTTCGCTATTCTTAGGCATTTAGTTACTTTCCAAAGTTGAGTTACTACAAACAGTAAAGCAATGGCAGCCTTGTACATATATCTGTCATGCCAATATATATATATTCCTAGTGCCAGAACTTCTGCATTTAGAAAAGAGTTAGATACTGCCAAACTACCTCCTCCAAGTTACAGTTTTGATAACAGTATAGAATGTATATTTCCTTGAATACTAATAAATCTTTGATATTATTGCTTTAAAAATTTTTGTCAATCTCATTGGCAAAAAATGACATCTCATTTTAATTTCAATTTTATTTCTCTAATTACAAGTGAGTTTGATCTTTTCTTATGTTATTTGGCCATTTGTGTTCTTGTGAATTCTCTATTTATACACTTTGATTTTATTTCCTATCATGTTGACTATCTTTTTCTTACTAAATTTACAGAACTTCTTAAAAAATTTGTTAAACATGTTGCAAATATATTCTGTCTGATCATGTCTTTTGACCTAATTATAGCTTTTATCATATAAAACTTTCAAATTTTTTGAGCAAAATGTGTCAAACTTTATAGAAGTATTAGAAAGTACAGTAAAATAGTTTTTAAAATTTGGGATGATGAATGCCTTCCTAAGATACAAATCCATCTTGTTTAGTTTACTGAGAAATCTCATTAGGGTTTTTCATTGGGAATTTAGTAAATCTGTGATTTAATCTGAATAAATTTGCACCTTTTTACTATTAAGTCTCAGAAATCATTAATAGTGCACATCTCTCCATTTCTTAGACTTCTTTTTTTATTCCTAAATTTTTTTTTTTTCATAGTTACTTTGTGTCAGGTGAATGTGCTGGTATTTAAAGTTTTTATTGCTTCTTTAAATAGTATACTTTCTCTAATACTATTTTCAATAGTTCATTATTGTAATGAGGGAGTGTTAACTATTTTGGTATGCTGAGGTGGTGTCTGACCTCCTTGTATATTCTGACTAGTTCTAAAATGTTTACTACTTGAGCTCTTAGATTTTCTTAGAAAATGATCTTTATAAAGAGTGAATTTTTGCTTTTACTAGACAACTGTTCATTTTTCAATTTCTTCTTTCTTTAAAATTTTCTGTTATCTTTATGAATTTCTTTCCTCCATTTTCTTTTACTTTATTTTGGTTATTCTAGCTTCTTGAATTAAGTCTCATTTATTAATTTCTAATCTTTGTTTTCTAATAAGTATATTAAAGACATATCATTTCTCAGTACATTTTTAGCCACATTCCACAGGTTTTGACATATAGAATTTTTGTCAAATTCATTTATGTGACTTATGACTGGTTTTATTTTTAAATTTTTTTTAAACCTTTTTTAAATTGATTTTTAGAGAGAAAGGAAGGTAGAGGGAGCTAGAGAGAGAAACATCTATATGAGAGCAGAACATCAGCTGCCTTCTGCACTCACTCCCCTTACCAAGGATCGAGACTGCAACTCAGCCATGTGCCGTGACTAGGAATCGAACCCGCAACCTTTTGGTGCATGGGACAATGCCAAACCAACTGAGCCACACTGGCCAGGGTGACTTTAGTTTTATTTTATTCTTTAATCTTAAAAGGTTATTTTCTGAAATAGTTTTTTTAAAGGAATACTATAACTATAATAAAAAGAACAACAACAAAACAATAATAAAACAAAACAAAAGCCAAAAAGATAATTGAGCAGTACACACAGACATACAGGAAAAGTAAACTTCTGCATACTTTGAAACTCTAGGGTCCTCAGTTTAACTTATAGGAACAATCGTTTTTAAAAACTCACAATTTAAATTACACGAGGATATCTCTGAAATACATGCCTCATTTCTCACAAATTGCAGCATTTTATGCAATTGTTCTATACCTTACATTTTTACTTTCTACAACATATTAAAGACTGTTTCATATCAGGACCTCTAGTTTTAGAGCTACAAGTATTTGGTCCTCTATATGGACATTTAGTAAGTTTTCATATTTTTCCTATTATAAACACTGGCTGCAATGAAAATCCTTGGACACATACATTTGTGCTCATGTAAAAAATATTATCTGTATAATATTCCTTTAAATGAAATCACTAAGTCAAAGGGCATGTACTTAACAAAAGTTTGTTAGGTATTGCTAAATTGTAAAAAAGTTGCCTTAATTTTCATTAACGTCAGTAGTGTATATGAATCCTGTTTCATCATGCTGTACATTATCAAACTTTTAGTCTTTCCCCACAAAGTTACCTTACTGTTTTAAAATTTTCATGTCTATAAATTTGATTGAGGTCACCATCTTTAAGTTTAAAGGCATTTATATTTTGTGCTCTGAGAAATTGCTTCTCCTGTTTCTTTGTTTTTCCAATTCCAACTGGATAAGTTTTTGGCTCATTATTTATGATAGTGTAATTAGAGAAAATGATCTGTATGGGTAGGCTTTTGGGGATATATATATTTTTTTCTTTGAGCTTAATATATGTTCAATTTTTTCCCAAACATTTCTTAGGTGTTCAAATAAATTAAAAAATTTATTTTTTATTTTTTATGAAATGGGAATAAGGTTATCAGAATAAACTTCTAAATACAAGGTGGGCAAAAGTAGGTTTACAGTTGTGAGTCTACAAAACAGTTTATTGTTGTGTTGTTATTATTGTATTATTTTCCATATGAACTGCTGTAAACCTACTTTTGCCCACCTTGTATATTTATTTGATAAAATGTATTAACTGAGTTAGTTATTCAAATCCTCAATATTCTTTTTTATTTTGGTTTATTTGATCTATTTAGCACAATAACTGTGAATTTGACAGCATATACTTTATTTCTTAATATATTTAGAAGCTGTCATCTTCGTTAAATTAAGTTTAACATTATTATCTTTTTTTGTGGATTGTAGTTTTTGGTGTCATGAATTTTATTATCATTAATATTAATATTCCTGTATTTGTTTGTTGTTGTCACAGCACTTGTCTGTTATGTATTTTCCATTCCTTTATTTTCAACCTTTATATATTGCTTTCTTTAAGTGTATCTCTCAAAAACAACATGTAACTCAATTTTTAACCCAATCTGAGAGCCACTATCTCTTAATAGAATTTCATTCATTAATATTTATTGTGATGACTGACATGTTTTTCTTTATACTTCCCTTCCTGCTTTTTGTTGGTCTATGTTTTTTTCCTTTTAGTGACTTAGAAATTATAATCTATTTTTTTCTAATGATAGACCTTAAAAATTTAAAGCACAGAGTTAAACATATATTTTTCCATCAATTTCTGGTGTTAATTAATACCTATTATTTTTCCTAAACAGGGAAAGAAACTTGGTAAGTTTAATTTCCTTTCTCTTAGAATTTTCTTAGATTTTAATCTTCAGGTTATTAAAATTTTTTACATTGTCCATTAATATTTTTAGACAACTATAATTTTTACTGATTTCTTTCCCTATCAATATTTCTTGAATTCATCGCTTCCTATTTCTTGCATTCACTATTAATTTTGTAGCCTTACCTCCCTCAATATTTGTTTCTCAGAGTGGTTCTGTAGGTTTTCAATGCAATTTTGATTTCACCAATCAAATACGCTTGGATTAAGATCTGAAATCAGACCTGAGCTAAGTGGGGAAGTACGGGTCGGACGAGATATTTGTTTTGTTGGTGTAAATGACAGCAGGGCTACATGGTTCTAGAACCATGTTCTGGTGCAGGGAGTGGGAAATTTCCTGATCCCCAGTGTAGTTCAAGTGGTATGATCCTGGAGCTAGCAGTTGGGACAACAGTCTCCTGATCACCTGGATCCCTGACTGTATGTAGCAAAGGTGGCAGTTTCCTCCATGGGCTGGTCGAGTCTGGAGACTGTTTCTCCAGCACGTCTAATAATTTTGCACATAACTAATTACTTGTATATCATCATTTTCTACTTACTCTAATCAGAGTGAATTCTGCTATAACTGAATCATGACTGGCAGACCATCTTTGACTTTTTTCCCTCCATCTATGCTACATCCTGTCAGTGAGTGTATTCTGTCATGTACACATTTTCTAAATATTTTCAAATTATCCTCTTCTCCAGCCTCACTGTCTTAATTCAAGCCCTTGTAATCTGTCTCTCAGACTATAGACTAGCCTCTTAATTGGTCTCCAATCCTTCCATCCCTGTCTGCTCAAATAGCAGCCTTTCTAGAACATAAATCTAACCACATAATTGTTGTGCTTAATTACAAAGCATAAGTTTTCACTTTGGTTTTGAACGGATTGCAAGGCTCCTCAAAATCAGACCACAGTCAATCTTTCCAGCTTCATTTCCTATCACTATTCATAATCACCCCATGCTCCAATTACACCAAACTATTTCCAATTCCTTGTGCCTCTGCAGATACCTTTCCCTCATATCCTCTATCTGAAATGCTCCCACTGATTCCTGAAGAACTAGATAAAATGTTTCCTCCTTTGTGACACCTTCCCCAATGTTCTTCCAAAACGCTGTTAGTCTCTCTTATGCTCCTATGGCTCTCTTACAGCATCTGCAACATTTTATTATAATTGCTTATCTATATCTTTAACCTATTAGCTTGTAAGTCGCACAAGAGTGAGGACTTTATCTTATTTTTATATCCCCAACACTTTGAATAGGTCCAACCAGAAAACAAACTTAGGATAAATGTTTGTGAGACGTATAAATGGCAGAGTGAAGAGGTATGTGGAATCTATTCCTTTTTCTAGTGCAACAGTAGTTCTATAAAAACAATAAAAATTAAAGGTTACCTGACATCACCCAGAATTGAAATCACACGGTACTGGGGTAACTCAGAAGACGCTACATGAGCTAGGATGCCAAAGAGCCTTTCAGCCATGATCATATCGTTCTGTGTCACCTGAAGAGATACAATGGAGAGAGGTAAAAAATGACACTGTCTCTTAGCTTTATACAACTATCATACTTCCAGGGAAATGTCCAAATTAAGTGTTTTCTTTTTAGTTCAAGAAAGCACATTGTCCTGGGCTATAAGAGAGTTCTCATTGGTATTTCTCTTTCTTTCTTAGCTTAATTAGAATGAAGATGTACAAATGTGGCTCATGTGACCAAGGGTGACTAGAAGTTGAGTTTGAACTGACTTAGAAGCTATATCCTGAGAATTATATGAAGGCACCTTAGAATCTTAATAAATTTTTTTCAGAAATTCTATAGCTTCTTGGAGTAGAATGCTGTAGGGGGGGAAATTCCCAAGTGTCAATGAAATAGATTCCTATTAATAATGTTTCAAAGATAAAACAAGGTGTTGTTCAGGCCTTGCTCCCCTAAAGATAATTTTGTCCCTGCCTAAGAGACAGAACATTGGATTAGCAAGGATACTCCTGGTTCATTCTGAAGTTATGCCCGCCTTTCATACTATAAGGATTAACTTGTTACAGGTATTCTCTGTGAGGTTTCATTCTTATGCTAACTAATAAAATACTAAAAGCAGGACTTGGATTAATATCTGGGCATATTTTCTTTAACGTGAAATAGGGTAGCTTGCATTTTAAATACTATTAGTTTGTTTATATAATTCAGAGGTTCCCAACCAGGGTCCATTTTAGCCCCTATGGAACACTTAGCAATGTCTGAAAACAGTTTTGGTTGTCATAACTGGTGAAGGGGTGCTACTGGCATCTAGGGTTAGAGGCCAGGGATGCTACAAAACATCCCATAATGCACAGGAGAGACCCCACAACAAGGAATTATCTAGCCTAAATGTCAATAGAGCTGAAGTTGAGAAACCCTGGTATAGTTAAATTTTGAATCTTTTAAAAGTACATTCTTAACACTAGCTGAAATACATTTCACAGGCATTTTCTGAAAAATAAACCCATAATTCACAAGCATCTTAAGAATCAGTGCAGACTGACTCTTTCCCTTCCTTTCCCAAATGTTCCTTTAAAAATATATATATATTTATTTATTGACAGTATTACAGATGTTGCCCATTTCCCACCCCTCTTTGTCCCTCTCCATCCAGCCCCTGCCCCATCCCAGGCCTTCACCCCACTATTGTCTGTCCATGGGCTACGCAAATATGTATAGTTAATTTCTTCCTGCCCCCCTACCACCCACCACTCTGAGATCTGTTCCATGCATCCACGCCTCTGGACCTATTTTGTTCATCAGTTTATTTTGTTCATTAGATTCACAGTCTAGTTTCATGTTTTGCATGTACCTGTCCAATTTTCCCAACACCATTTACTGAAGAGACTGTCTTTACTCTATTGTATGTAATTGCCTCCTTGTCAAATATTAGTTGACTGTAATGGCATGGGTCGATTTGTGGGGTCTCTGTTTTGTTCCACTGATCTATATGCCTGTTCTTGCGCCAGTATCAGGCTATTTTGATTACAATTGCTTTGTAGAATAGTTTGATATCCGGTATTGTGATCCCTCCAACTTTGTTCTTCTTTCTCAAGATTGCTGCGGATATTAGGGGTCCTTTTTGGTTCCATATAAATTTTTGGAATGTTTGTTCTAAATCTGTGAAATATGTCATTGATATTTTAATAGGGATTGCATTGAATCTATAGATTGCTTTGGGTAGTAGACATTTTAACGATGTTCATTCTTTCAATCCATGAACACAGTATATGCTTCTAATTGTTTGTATTTTCCTCTATTTTTTTTTTTTTTTTTTAATGTCCTATAGTTTTCCTTGTACAGGTCTTTTTCCTCCTGGTTAAGTTTATTCCTAGGTATCTTATTATTTTTGTTGCATTGGTAAATGGGATTGCCTTTTTAGTTTATCTTTCTGAGAGTTCATCATTGGTGTATAAAAATAGCATCGATTTTTTGATGTTGGTTTTGTACCCTGCTACTTGGCTGAATTCATTTATTAAATCTAGTAGTTTTTTGGTAGAGTCTTTAGGGTTTTCTATGTAAAATATCACATCATCCACAAATAATGACAATTTTACTTCCTCTTTTCCAATTTGGATGTCTTTTATTTTTTCTTCTCGTCTGATTGCCGTGGCTAGGATTTCCAGTACTAGGTTAAATAAGAGTGGTGAAAACAGATATCCCTGTCTTGTTCCTGTTTTCAATGGAAATGGTTTTAGTTTTTGCCCATTGAATATGATGTTGGCTGTAGGTTTGTCATATATGGCCTTTATTATGTTGAGGTATGATCCCTCTATTCCCACTTTGCTGAGAGTTTTTTTGTTTTGTTTTTTTATCACAAATAGGTGCTGGATTTTGTCAAATACTTTTTCTGCACCTATTGATATGATCATGTAATTTTTATCCTTCATTTTGTTTATGTGATATATCACATTTATTGATTTGCAAATATTGTACCAGAATAAATCTCACTTGATCATGGTGTATGATTTTTTTAATGTGTTGCTGGATCCAATTTGCTAATATTTTGTTGAGGATTTTAACATGTATGTTCATCAGGGATATTAGCCTTAAATTTTCTTTCTTTGTGGTGTCCTCGAGTTTTAGAATTAGGATAATGCAGGCCTCATCAAAAAACAAAGAGAGAGGACCCAAATAAAAAAAATCAGAAAGAGTGAATTAACAACTGGCATCAGAGAAATACAAAAGATTGTAAGAAAATACTATGAACAACTATATGCCAACAAACTGGACAACCTGGGCAAAATGGACAAATTCCTAGAAACATACAATCTTCCAAAACTCAATCAGGAAGAATCAGAAAACCTGAATAAGCCAATAACAACTAATGAAATTGAAGCAATATTCAAAAACTCCCAAGAAACAAAAGTTCTGGACAGGATGGCTGCACAGGCGAGTTTTATCAAACATTCAAAGAACACCCATCCTCCTCAAACTATTCCAAAAATCTCAAGTGTAAGGAACACTTCCCCAGGCTTTCATAGTTACTGAGGTTGCTGCTTGCACAAATCCTTCCTTTAGCTGACAACTAAGTTGTGTGGTCTAATAACAGTCACCTAGTGGCCAGTGAAAGCCAACACTCCCATCTTTTCTTCTTGATGTTCATAATTCAATTTAACTCTACCTCAAACAATATCATTCTTACACAAACAGAAGTAGAAATATAGTAATACACTACTATATATTGGTAAGGATGAGATAAGCAGCTTTATTTTAAGGTCTTTTATTAAAGGGTCAAATATCTCTGGCCTTGACATTCTTGGAACTTTAAATCAAAATAAATATTACTGGTTCTTTTCCATTTTCTGCAATTATAGTATACTATTTCTTCCTAGTTCTATAATAAATTATTACATTTCTAGTAGTGATCCATGTCTGGGTAAATACACTATTTAAGGTTAATAGGGATAACAGTTTGGCTATTAATGAGAGAGAATTACCCACAGCCAAAATAGTCTTTCTACTTCCAGTCCATGGTGGAACTGGAAGTAGCTTTGAAAATCTTTGGGAGTAATTATTAGGTCTGACCAGGGATTCATAATCCATCTGGGGAAGTGCCAAGAGGGTACACAAGAGTACACAAGACTGAACCGAATCTCTTAAGAAGTAACAAGAGAAATTAAGAGTCATCAAAGGTTCCAGATTTGCCTGTATCTTCAACAGATGGCTGACAGTGTGGTCATGGGCCTATCCTGATTGATGCAAATTTCACAAGGTTCTTATACAGTGACCTAGAGACCTCCAGTCTCCTAATAGTATGCTGGGTTTGTGGAGTTCTGGGCCAGAGGTACTTATCGTGCATCGGCTGCAGGGGAATATGGTGGCTGTTACCACCATGCCAGCAAAGTTGATTACAGTTCATTTTACAATAAAGAGGTTTTCTGAATTTTAAGAGATAATCACAATAATACTAACAGCGTATTAAAGATTTTTTCATTTGGAGGTTTATTTAAATTCACTTCAGGAATTCCACAGTAGAGGAAGAAGCATAATTTCTCTTTTCTTCCCAAATAATATATAAAGAGAACATAGTATTTGGATAGCTGGGGGATTACCCTTGTGACCAGTTTAGTAGAATCAATATGAAAAACAACCTTTTATTAAGAATTTTCCCGTTATTCAGGCTCCAGGCCTGAGCAATACGGTGCAGATATGCCACAGGCAGCGCTTACAAACTATTAACAAAGCAGTCCAGACATTCACTTATGCTTGTCTTATTTCCTTTATTTCTCTAATTTTTTCCTTCTCTTCCCTTACCTCTCCTCGTTTGTTTCTCCTCACTTCTTTTTTAACCACTCTCCTCTCCCTGTGTATATCCTCCTTCCCCCCATTTTGCTTTTACCTTCCTCTACTGACACTTACTAGTTGACATTTGGGTATTATTTCCCCATCCCCTCTTGCAAGCAAGAGAGTCTACAAAGCACTTTTAAAAATACAAAGATCACATTACCTATAGAAGTATTCTTTTTTAAAAATGTCATTCTACCAACTTTTTACATCTCTGAATGCTTACAAATAACAGTAAAAGTACTTACTATTCATCATGATGTGGTTACTATTTTATTTTCAAAATTTGTCTCATGCTTTAGAAGTTTTAGGATAAACAGATTTTTAGCTTTCTGACATTTTAACTGTCAATATAAGAAAAAACAGCAATATTTCTCAAAAGTTCCAACATGGTTACTTAAATTCCTAACAATTTGTATGACTATTTCCCTTAAAAAGGAACCCTTTTATTCCACAGTGACTTAGTATTTAGCTTACCTCTGTCCCATTTATTTTCTGCATATTAAAATGGCTCAGCCTAAACAGTACATAGTATTTCCAGAGTGTAAAATTGACAACTGGATTTCCTTGAGGATCAATTGTCAACTGGTCAATGCGATGGAGTTGTGCTAATGCATTAAATTGTTGCAGCATTACAAGATTTGTTTCCTTGAATTTAAGGTGCTGCAATAATAAAACACACAAAAAAAGAGCTGAACGTTAAGTTTAACCATCTTAAAATACTAACATTAAAACTTCAGTGATCTTTCCCTAAGTAAATCTGTAAACTTTAAGCTTAGCTAATATGTTTTCAATTATATTAAGTCAACTGAATGTACCAAACTTACATACTTTTAATCCATCTAATACATCATTGATGAAATCCATTAATCCAACCAATATTGAATTCAAAGTGATTTCTCTTCTGCAAAGGGCATCCCATTTATTGGCAAACTAAGATCCTTAAAAGTTACATAAATATACAATAACTCATTACAATAATTTTATATACTTTTTTCTGAAATTAAAAATTATAAAGGAATGATTAAAAATAAAATTTTGAGAACTTTATATACAAGGCTCATAATGCTTCTGAGAGAACATGTTAAATGTGTATCTTGCCACTTACTCTGAAGGCTAGTTAAACTGGCCAGAGAAAAATCAAGTCACTAAAACTGAAATGCTAATAATGTAAATGCTCTGCCTGTGAAATTGGATGCTCTTTTCTAAACATACTATCTCCACTTCTATCTTATTTAGGGAGACTGATGTGAGGGAAAACACTATAAAAGGGGTAACAGAGGAAAACACAACAATAATAACTCAAGAAAGAATGCACGGAAACCAGTTTCTGCAAATACATACCAATAAATACAATAGTACCATAACTGGAAAGGCCAACTCTCAAAGTAACTTTAATGAGCTACTAAAATTATTTTAAATGTTGTTAGGGGACCACTGTGAAAATTATACAAAAATGTACATGTCTCATTAATAACAAGTACAATAAATGAATATATAATATATGTATGGTTAGGTGAGGTCCTATTGAATGCTTCTTTACAAAGTAGAAATAAACAATTTGAATAAAATCATATCAGTCCTTTATACTCCATAAAGAATCATTTCCTAGAGAGATCATTTCCAATATTAACAGACAGCTGCAAGGGCACTTATGAATACTAATTTAAATCCCAGCTCCAGAAAATCAACATGAAAGCTTAGTCTCCCTGCCAGATAGAAACTGTGTCAGCAGGAGTTAAAAACAGCCATTTAGCCTAAACTTACAGGTCAGGACTGAGCATAATTCAAATGGGCCACTAAGAGGAAGTGTTTACCAGAGAGTTAGGGAACTTCATCTTCAATTTGGGAAGCACTTGGACAATTTCATCAAATTCTATGAAAGTGAAGGACACTGTTGTCACCATTCCTGCTGTTTGAATGCTCCAATTCCGATCTAGAGACTCCAGTGCTCCTGAGCCATACAGGGAAAGCGTGTCCCCATCCACTTCAACAAGGTGTGTGTCTATGACAGATAAACCTTGCAAAGCATTGGTGAGTACTGTGTCCACAGACCTGGAAAAGCCCACATACAATTTTAAATGACAGTCTTATCACGCAAAGTAAATAACAGACTATAAAAACCTGTTGGAAAAGGTATTTAAAATTCTATATTCGCCTTTTCATTTTAATAATTAAACCCAGAGTACCAAAGACTAATTTTCAATAGAATATCTGGAAGTTTTATATTCTTCTAGTAATATTTTTTCTTTGCTTTTATTGTTGACACTATTACAGACGTTCCCATTTTCTTCGCTCACCGCCCCCTTTGCCAGCCTCCTCCCAGCCCCCGCGCACCCTTCCCTGTGCCTAAGGCTTGTACATATACATGTTCTTTGACTAATGCCTTCACCTTCTTTCATCCAGTCCCTGCCTCCTCCCCTCTTCTAGGCATATATTTTAATTCAAAGAGAGGCACATGTGAATAAAAATATACCACCTTTAAAACAAAATTATTTATGTCAGTGAAAGACAATTGATATTCTATTTAGTTTTAAAACAATCCATTTAATGTATCATGGATATGTTTTCATGTTAATACAAATAAGTTTTCATAATCTATAAAGTATTCCACTGTCCAGCTGAAAAATAAAACCACATTTTTCAAAACACTATTTCTATAGCAACAACCATATAACACAAAAGTATGTTTATGAAAAACTTGGGAAGACATAAAATAACTCTGAACAATAGTTAATCTCTCAGAAGTTGGGTTAAGGGGTAACTTTGACTATTTTTGAATACTTCAGTGTTGTTAAAAATTCTGCATGTGGCCCTGGCTGGTGATGCTCAGTGGTTAGAGCATCAGCCTGTGCACCCAAGGGTCATGGGTTCGATTCCTGGTCAAGGGCATGTACCTGGGTTTGTTAGATCCCTGGCCCCGGTTGGGGCATGTGCAGGAGGCAACCAATCAATGTGTGTCTCTCACATGGATGTTTCTCTCTCTCTCTCTCTCTCTCCCTCCCTCCCTCCCTCCATTCTACTCTCTCTAAAAAGCAATGGGAAAAATTTCTTGGATGAGGATTAACAAAAAAATTTTTTACACAACAATTATAAGCAAGAAAATTAATGAAGACTTCCTCCCCATTTTGAAATAAGAAATGACGAAAAACAATCCACTATTTATATAATATGTACATATACAAAATCACTTCACATACACTACTCAATATGATAGGTATTATTTCCGATGTAGGAGCCACATTTTCTGTAAAGGTTTCTTAAATGATAGCCAGAGAAGAAACATTTGATCCAACTCAGATGTTCTGATTTTACCCAATCTCAAAACTCAAACAATGCTTGGCTTTTGTTCCATGTGTTTTCATTCTGGAATTTTTACTTTCAGATTTCCCCTTACTAATATTAGTGCTTTGCTCCCCTTTGTGCACCTATGGACTTTTGTACACTCCTCCAAAACATCATTTCTCATGCTGCACCATAATTACATGCGTGCAATTTTGCTGCATCTATCAAATGGTGAGTTCCTCGAGGCTAAAGACTATATTTTTTCAACAATGGTGGTTCTGGGGCCTAGGAATGGGCTTTTCACAATGTGTATTGAATAACTGCATTATTAAAGACCCTCAGCATTTGTATAATGGTGCTGTTGGGGGATAAAGCTGACAAACCATCACCCTGTTGGTTTACCAAGCTTTACTAGGCGTATGTGAACATATATCAGAGCCACCAGTGATTTTCAACCTTTTTCATCTCATGGCACATAAACTAGTCACTGAAATTCTGCAGCACAACAAAAAATATATTTTATTTTTTGTCAATCTCACACAAAAATAGGTATAATTTTGTTTCATTCACACTGGATGGCTATTGTTGTGTTGGCTGTTTTCATTTTGTTATTTGACAATCTAAAGGAAAAGAGGTCAGTGCCCCTGACTAATTCATCAGGTATCGCATGTTTTAACAATTCTTGTGGCACACTGGTTGAAAATCGCTGGTCTATACAATAGCAAGCTGGCTAATAACATCAGTCAACTCTAAGTGAAATGCAACAAAAGACTTGGTTTCTGCCAAACCAGTGCTTGAGACAATAATTATTATGTGAAAATAATCAAACATTCAATGAGCAGTAGTATATGAATAATCTTAGATGATAATCCTATAATGGAACAAAAATAAGACGAGAGTCAAGAGTTCCTTGTATCGTGCTTTGCATGACAGATTTGTGTTGAGCTACGTAGAGCATGTAATCATTTCTGGAATAAGAAAAAGGACAGGATTTACACTTCACTGCCACTAAAATGGAGAAGGCTTGATGAAAGGGTGCACACCCATCACAGCACTTCCCGCCTTGTGCAGCAGTTACTGTTTACTTGTCTTTCTCTATCACTAAACATGGTGATCCTCAAGGACTTGAGGGCCGGAACCTGGTCATATTCACTGTAGTAGAACCCGAGTCTAGCACAGCTCCCAGCACATGTTGTGCTCAATAATATTTCTCAAGTGAATTAATGAAGTGAGACAATTAGGAAGATTTTATGAGTGTCTACTGAATTTTATAAAGGATTGCAAACCATAAGCTGTGGTTTGAGCAAAGGGGCAGAATCAGTGATACAGACACAGAAAGAGTTAGCAAGAAGTATTCTCAGGTGAGGCAAAGACAAATAATGAAAAAGTAATATCAAGGAAGGAAAAAAAGGTTGCTGGTTGATGGAGTGATGCTTGATGGCCAGGATACCCAGCCACAGAAGTCTATTTTAATGTAAAAATGATGGAGAATCAGAGCTATGTACCAAAAACAGGAACAAATCCTTTGAGATGTGTTGTTTTATATCATATATTTGGAAGTATCTTGCTTTTCTTTGTCCATATGATAAAAAGTTTAAAGATATAAACTACAGATCAATCTAAGATGGTGACTCTGGAACCGGAAACCACTCCTACTCCTAACCCCCCACCTATAGAAGAAGAGAAAACAGAATTTAACCAGGAAGTTGCTAACCCAGAACACTGTATTAAATATCCTTTACAGAACAGATGGGCACTCTGTTTTTTTTTTTTAAATGATAAAAGCAAAACTTAGCAAGGAAACTTTTGGCTGATCTCTGAGTTTGATGTCTAAGTTGAAGACTTTGGACTCTTGTACAACCATAGCCAGTTGTCTAGTAATTGAATGCCTGCCTGTGACTACTCGCTCTTTAGGAAGAGTATTGAGCCTAGGTGGGAAGATGATAGAAGCAAAAGAGGAGGGCGATGGCTAAGTACATTCAGCAAACAGCAGGGGTGAAGTGACCTCCAATGCTTTTGGCTAGAGATGCTGCTGTGCCTTACTGGAGAAACTTTTGATGACTACAGTGATGATGTATGGGGAGAGGCTGTTAATATTAGAGCTAAAGGTGATAAGATAGCAAAATGGACTACTGAATATGAAAACGGAGAAGCTATTACACATATGGGGGGGTACACAAGGAAAGGTTAGGACTTCCTCCAAAGATAATGATTGGATATCAGTCCCATGCAGGCACAGCTACTACTAAGAGCCGCTCTACCACTAAAAATAGGTTTGTTGTTTAATAAGACACCTTCTGAGTATTCTCATACAGGAGAGACTATGTCAAGTAACTGAGATTGGGTAGCTGAACCACAGCCTTTTCAAAAAGCACAGTGGACTGTATTTAAATTTGATTTCCATCTAAATGTTGCTAAGATACAAGAGAAGTCTCATTTGTCTTTGTCTTATACTTCTGTGTTAATTAAAAAAAAAAACAACTTTAGGTAGAGTGTTCACTTCTCCCAATCAAAGAATTACAGTACAAATTGTCCCCAGAATCCATAAACGTGTTCCTGGCCCACTCCTTATAGCTTAGGAGAATTACCATTACAAACACATTTTACCCACCCACAATATTAAAAAAGAACTTGTATTTCTACACCTTACAGGAAAAGAATTCTGTTTATGTTCCATTATATGCAGGAGCATATTTTACTGGTTTGAAAGAGTATGACGCATACAGTTTCCTAGCAATTTTCTTTGTTCCGTTTTATAACATTGTCTTTGCTGTACATTCTTGATGGCTTAGACTTAGATTTTAATTTATTTGTTTCCCTTCTTGATAACATTAGTGGTTCTGATTTCAGTTTTTCATTTATTTTTTTCCTCATGTAACAATGGAGAAGGATCCAGGAAAATGACACAAAGGTAGGATAGAAATTAATTTGGGGCATTATTTGGTAATTCTTTTTGTTACTACAAAGCTTTGCTATATATTTATGCATTTCATTCAAATCAGTGATCTATGTTTGTGTGATTTCCTAAACACAACTGTGGCCTATAAAAATGTAACATCATAATTATATTCCTAATTAGAATTAGTATGTCTGCTTTTTTATCTTTATGCTGTATTTTGACATTTCATATTACTTAGGTTATTTTGCTTTGGTTAAAAAATGGCTCAGGCAGAAAAGCAGTCCCATTCATATTAAGAGAGTGTACAAAACTATAAATAAAATGTGTACAGTAAATTTTGTTTTAGACAACTAGACTTGTCCTTTTATTTCTCCTTCTCTATAGAAGGTTTGTACTTCTTACTGGAAGGCAGTCTTTATTGTGTCTTCTTTAGCAGTGTCGTCCACATGAGCTGCACAAGTTTGGAGAACTATTTGATTATTATGTTTATTACAATTTTTAATAAATTGAATAGGTAGCATTATATATATGGAATTAAAAGAGAATATAAACTACAAAATAAAAGTATATTATTAAAAAGGAATTATTTATTTTGTTTAAAATTTTGTAAGCAAATTGTTAGGAAAATAAGTGAAATAATAAGCAAGCCTAGATTCAGCAAAAGAGTTACATAGTTACGAAACAAAGCAGACAGAACCTCCAATTTATACAAGATCTGACATGGACATTCAGTAAAAACAAATAGCAAGTTTGCTGGGCTGTAGGCAGATTCATCCTTCTCAATAGGAAATATAGCACCTATTAAGTCATAAAAGCCTAACCTATGTCAGTTGGGGGGTGGGAATGGGTAGTAACTGCAAATGGCCATGAG